ACTGCATGTAATTCAGTCTCTTCGATGGTATCAATACTGAATTTTTCACCGAATGAGCTGGTTACGAAACAATATGAAACTTAGGTGTCACTGACGGAAGTAAATCAACTTGATTAATTCAGTCACAAATTATGCTCAAGTCGGTAAACAGTGACAGTGACAGATGGTATATGATTGCTGTTAACGTTTGAACGAACCAACGGTGTTTACTGACTAACAACTTTTCTTACATAACAACATTCTGGTTATTGTCTAAAGGCGATGAGCGAAGTGTGACCAAGTAAAAAAAATCATAGTCTCAGTCAATCAATGCAGCACATATCACGATGTTTTTTTTTGACAGGTGGAAATAGTTGATGCCATTCAAGAAGGTTAGTGATGTTGAACAGAGTTCAAGAGAAAACTGAGTGTGGAAGAGGTCTGCCAGTCGTAAATTAAGTATTTTTCATGCAATTAATTGGTTTGTTTTAAAGGAATTAATCAGCATTCGAAACTATCAGATTAGTGTAATCTTGCAACATGTCATTACTGTTTTTGACACGAACATTCTCGAGATTTTGACGACTCAGAAAAGAGACGCGCATCAAGTGGAAATCAGCGATTATTTAGAAGCAATCTGAAACATATGAATTGGTGAAACATGCAGAGTTGTTCAGTCACATCATATTGCTACAAGGATATATTCATATGTACGATATTTTAGTGATGCAGTATAACACTATTTTATGTTGTTAATGATATTCATCTATTCAGCAATCATAATAAAACATTCCAAGTTCACGTCTCGCTATTATCACTAGCATCATAAAAATCGCATTTTTATGTTATTTCTTTTTTAAGTTATTCCTTTCACCTAGCTGACTATGATGGCATATGAAATCACGTATCTTCACCAAAATTTTGCTTGTTGATCACTTCAGCGACTGCAGAGGTGTTGGAGCTGCTCTTATGGAGTGCACAATGATTTGAGATGATGAAGGGATGATAAAACATAATAGGAAATTTTGATATCACATGCAATACAGAAGCTGTTCAGCTCGATAAATATCAATTTCGTTTTTTAGCGTTTCTCATTCATCAAATGATATCATCAAACGTTATGATCTGACGTCAATATTCCATGATCAGATTTTTTATTTTCTCCATGTCAGTTGCAGAAGCGGACTGTTGGTTCCTGGTTCGTCATGATAAGAACTTTTTCTGTGAAGATAGTGATAAATAACCGCAAATAAGAAGTAAATAAACACGGAAACCGGTCTCTTCACTGGGCATATAATAGTTTGCCATGAAAGTTCTCAAAGCCATTTCACAGCGGATATCATCAGCAACATCGGTCGTTGAACGTCAGTCTCCCAAACAAACAATGAAGTCAACTCTCTTGTTAGTTTCCTCAGGCGATTCTTAATTGTTTGAGATTGGTTTCATGCTGTCCTTTTCCTTTGTCGTCATTGCTCTTTTCACCTATGAGGGATCACCTTACTCAATTGATCACAGTCGCTCAACTGTTCTTGGCTTTCGGCAAGAATTTGAAAATAACTCAAAATGTGTCTGCAAATTTCGAGTTGAGAATTTCTTCCAAATGCACACTTCAAACAACGCGTAGCTTCAATCACTGCTGCAAGACTAGCGCACTTACTGAATTAGCATTGCTGGATCGATATCTGAGTTTACTGCGATTGTTAGAAACAGCAACTCGGCAACTCCATGATATATATCCTGATTCATTTGACAGAGTAATCATTAACCGTCACTTCCAAAATTTAATTTCAGTGTTTTGCTGGTTGTTTTATTCGTACTGATCGCTACGACCGTGAATGCTCAATATTCTCCTTACAGATACCCGTTCTATGGTCGAGTAAGTTCATGTAAACATTCTGAGCCTAAAAATTACCGACCGCTAAAAAATTTTGTCCTATTCAAAAACTATTGCTTGACTGATAGCAACGGACTGATCTCATTATCAAGTCACTTCAATTCTACTGTTCTTATGAATGACTTCAGTTTCAGGGGGCTCTAAAACCCTGGAATTTTTTTAATTGTCGCAGATGGAAATCAATTGATCGAATGGAAAATCATTGCTGAATAATATACCGTGCAATTTTCAGCAATCGCTAGCTTATCGACACTATTTGTACGACTACTACAATCGATTCCTCCCGGCCTACTATTCCGGTGCAATCAAACGGTGAACCGCGATCAGGGCACGCAACGATTACAATCACAGTTTATGATTCCAGGACATTTGATAACGCAATAACGATAAATTCACTTGATCAGTCAAATATTTCACGAACTTTGTCACGCTAAAAAAATTCAACTCATAAAACTTTTCAAATGATCAAACCTAATGAAAGATATATCTTTTCCTGTACTTCTTTGCACACGATCAGCCAAAAGTATGGATCAAAATTGTCAGCTGGATTCGTTTCGTTGTTATATTGGTTCCCAAGGCGACGTCACAGAAAATCATCACACTCCTTAACCTGTCGTCGTCATCTAACAATTGATTTAAAAAAGGTGTACTAAGAATACCGAAACTCATTATGAATGATATTCTGATTTGAATGTAGGAATCTTGCCCATTCTATGATCACCATTGTCTGAGGTGCTCATTGAAAGCCAACCAGATAAAATAGCTAACATCTGGTTTCGTCTGATGGATGACATGACGATAACGTGAACAATTACAGTTTGCACAAATAATTTAGTTGACGGAGTGACGACGGCATGCCTCCAAAGACAGAGGAGATTTTTTTGATGTGTTGTTGTCGCTGAATTTGCTTTCTAAATGAAACATTGCGCAAAAAAATATTGCCAACAAACTTGAATCATTTTTCACCTCATGGCGGACGATCACTTGAACTGGAAATTCGTGATTCATTACCGTTCAAAAACAGTTCCTGAAGACTGTTATACATTAAAAGAAAGCCACATGGGCAACATAATACTTCAAGTAACGTCGTAAGGAAAATTCAATTGATTGAATCGCCATCCGAACTATGTAAAAAATCATGACAGTGATCATGAATGAATTAAATAGAACAAAATTCCATGTCAACTAACGTGATCACGAATTAATAAATCCATGACACCAATCAGAGCAAACAATGGTCCATTTTAACAAACTTTATTGACTGCGTAAGTTGAGTTGGAGAACATGTAATAATTGAAGGAGAAGACATGAACATGGGTATTCACGATTAGAAGGGTGAAATCACATGGATCGTACGCAATTATGCAACTCATTTAGGAGCTATGTACAGAAGCATGATCCTAATGGAACTGTTCGATGCTATCAGCTGAACAACAGCTGTGAGATATACGATTGCTGGATATTGGATTAACTCGGAGAATTGTTTGCTTGGCAATTCACAAAATAAAAATGTTCAACAAGTATGAGAGATAATGTTTGCCGAATTCTTCAGCACGTGTTCGAACCACTCGTGCACGTTCAATCAGCAAGCATTTGTTCCTGGAAATCAATTTTAAAATATGATACAATTTGAAATCGTTGATTAGAAGAAATAAAAATTCCGATTCAGAACAAAAACTTCGAATCAGATGAAGACGAAAAAAAGAGACTTTTGCTGATTAAGTTATGTACATCGTATAAGAACAATGATCACCTCATTTTTAATGAATAACTGCACTGGTCGCCATTTGTTGTACGCCGCAAACGTTTTTGCCTCGGTAAAGTCGGAAGTATCCCTGCTCACCCCATCTTGCTCCCCAACTATTCTTCACGATCCAGAATGGTTTATCGCCCTCCACACCGTATCCCACTATCAGTACACCATGATCCAAATGTGTTGGCGAACATAAAATCTTCCAAGGATGTGCAATACCGTGTCGATAGAATTGCAGCGGATTTGCATTGATACCTGAAACTTGTTTGCACAAATTATTATTCGAATACTGCTCTCAGGGTTGATATACTCTTTCAGTAGTATCGCCTGACTGCACCTGAAGATTTTATAAAGTTGATTTTTGTTAATATAGAGTGGAAACAGCCTGCTGGATAAATCATCTTTACATTCTTTGTTGAATGAATGCTTCAAAAATTTCTCTGCTGCTCACTGAGCTTATACACATTTCAAAAAATTTTCATTCTTTGCAGAGGTTCTCTAGCTGCTCTCATACCTTTTCTCATGAAAAGCCTTATAATACTGCTGCTTATTCATTCCTTTCAACGCAACAGAATTTATAAACTCTATGCACTCTCATTCTATTACTAGCGCTATTCAAGTACTGACTGCCTATTTTTGACAACGTGCAGAGCATCATACGTATGGATGTAAGAAGGAACATACGAGCAGCCATCAGTATATGCTATTGTCATTTCTATTAATTCGATAACGTTAATGTGAAGGTGATTATTTTAATTTACGACGACAAATTTTCAGAAACATTGTAAGTAACTTTAGGAGTAGACAAAATAAGGAGAGGATTAACTTCAACGGTAGTGATTACACCCAAATATTCTGATGAAATCTATGAAGGTGATTTCAGTGATAGGAAAAATCAAGTGAGATCTATCAAATTTTTTGAACAAGTTATATTCCGTCATTGTTGAGCTTGGAGAATTCCGATGGCGAAAATCAAACAATTCAAAAACTGTCAAACCGATGGAGATTGGCCCTTTCGCTACCAACCACTCGGCCATTTTCTGCTCATCCTTGGGCAATTCCACTGAATCGTTTATATAGACCGCAATCTCCTGTCTGACCAAGTGACAACGCTCACCACGACCATCGTACGGATAGTCCTTTTCTGTTTCCAGTCCACCCATGCGTATGATTTCTCTTCAATATGCTCAACAATCAACCCAACTAATCAATCAGATTATGTATAACTGGTTCAAAAAATTGCCCAATGAAGCGTTTATATCGGTACCTTAGGGCACTTCTCAAATCTTACACTTTCACAGATGAGAACAAATAATAAAGGAGACACTAACTTGTAAGCATTCAATGGTAATCCTCCGTTACATCCTTCATCAACCACATCACAATCAACCAGTTCCTGTTCGGATAGAGACACCAGTTTACCTGTCTTAATCGCCCATGCACCTTCGATGTTACCAGTCACGGAGAATGCCCAACAACTACCGCATGCGCCTTGAATACATTCCGGATGAATCACTAGTCAGAATGCTTTTGAGGTCCATCTTATTCGTCGAGTGTTTCGACCTCATTTAGAACAATAACGCATCAGAACTGTTTAAATTCTCTTCTTTCGCAATAAATACAATTCAAAAAGAATGTGATAGTGTGCTAATTGGTGTAAGCACTTGAAATCAACCCCATTGAATAGCTGTACTTATTCCAAATCGTGCGTCTTGAAAGAAATATTTGTACAAATAAAGTGCTTTACGAATCAAGCCAAATGCTTCAGTGATCATAACACATCGGTCTACATCAAATACCTTGATTTTTCACATCGGTCACTGCATTCTTTTCACGCCAGTCGAATTGATCTGGTATTGGATCGGTAGATACACCGAACTCTTCAAAATCAGCCATCTTACTAGGCACACGAGGTGTTTGCCATATGTACGGCAGTATCAGCTGGAATCAGACGTTAACTTCAGAACGAGTGTGTATTGAACAGAGTATAGCTTTCTTGGTGTAGTGGAAAAACTCAAGGTTCAAAGCCAAGTTAACATCAAAAATGACGAGTTAATGGCTCAGGATGAGTTTAAAGTGAGTGTGTGCTATAGCACCATTAATTCATCACCCAAATCTTCGTTGCAATCAGTTGAACGCATTACATGATTAAACGACAACATCTTTCGCTAATCAATGACTAGTACCAATCGCCCTAAACTTTTCCCAGAGCAACAATGAAAAAAGAAGAATGACCTTTTTGAATTCCTCTTGGCTCATGTCACTGTATTGCGTCTCACCATAAACGGCTGTACCCAGCTCGTTTGACTGCCAAAATTTGGCCGTTCTTTGATTACGTTTATAAATACGAAAACGTCTCAGCATTTCCTTCTTAGTCGTGTAGGTACGATTATAACTGCATGAAACAATCATTTTTAACAAGTTTCGGTCAATGCCAAACATAACGATTGCTCAAGAACTACTAACAAAATAAGAGCGCTAAAAGCAATGTTGAAGTGTGATATGACACTGAATTCATGGGCAATGAATCTTTACAATTACAACTATGTGTTAAAAAGCGGGCCACAACAAAAATGCATGACTATCGCGGTTACACTTACATCACTAGGGGATCTCAACGAGTTTCAAATCAACTGAAAAATCCTTTCAGTCTCTATGCACGCCCGAATATTTTCTTACTTTTCAAACCTTCCGTCGTTCAATCTGATGATTCCGCTTGATCGGACTCCCAATCAATTCCCAATCAACGAATGCTTTGGGCGATCAAGACGTTTACATCTCGTGTCCATCAAGGCAAAAAAAACTTGCAATATTATGCTCACCGTTCAGCGAATGCACCGAACAGATTCCAAAGACCATAGTCCTTTGGTTTGATATGATGTCTCGCTGCCCAGCGATCGAACATGTCGCTCATTGCTGAATCATGCTCTCCGCTGCTGTGGACCATCTTTTCTCCGCTAAACAGAAGAAACAAATAAGAGTCAGAGATAAGTTCTAAGCTTGAATTCTTTATGACTATGGCTGAACTGAATCAATCATGAGATCCAATTTCAATCACTGCATAAGAGCGATTGCCGTAGAATGTACGATAATGTATGAGGAATTGCTCACTTTAGTAAACTCATTAAAATTCGTTCAATTCAATAAGTTGATGAAACAACGGATATTCTGAAATGGTTTCATTGAAAATGCTTTTTTTGGATGCGGAAATAGGTCAGTTCCTCAGCATGAAACCTACTGCATATTGTGTGCCGAATCGAGCGGCTGATGTTGCGAACAGTTTTGGACTGTTATCTCCTCGACGTTGTCCCATTCACGACGATAGATATCGAACGTACAAGCCTGCAACTTTTCACTTATAGACTGACAAAATCCCTGGAGAATTCGTAGGATGCAAAACTAATTTTTAATTTGAAATTTCGAGTGATTTCGATGAATTTCAACTCTAAAAACTTAACAATTGTCTTTCCTCTATGATACAACATTTCCAATGGAGATTTATGATAGTAAGTGGGAGAAATTTTGCAAATTTACCATTCGGATGGCATCCTTTCTGGATCGACAATGAGTAGAGCGAAGTTCGCTGAATTTCACCTTCTGAAATAGAGAAAAATCAGCACACACAGTCAACAGGATCACCTGTTTCAGTTGGCTTCAAGTCTGTCAAAGCGAACAAGAAACCACACGGAAATAATCGCATTCAAAGAGTATTTCAATCTGCGACTTGAACATTTAGAATTCAAAATTAATGGAAACACATGATATGAAGTGAAAATTCCCATGTCAAAATGAAGGAATTAACTTCTT